TTATCAGGCTCCCCCCCCCCTTCCCTTCCCAAGGGTCTTGTTAAATGGAAACGTTCCATTCTTGCCTTGGCAGCTCCTCCAAAGCCCAAGGCGCTTGCATCATTCTCCAAAGTTCTCCCTTGTTATCAAAGGTTGGCAAGGTTAGGGAGGCCCCTTCTGCACGGCCAGAGGAAATCCAGATTATCTCAAAAACTCAAAAACCACTGGACAAATTGCCACCAAATTTGCCCACAAGACACCTACTAACCCAAGAAATGACCATCATCCCCCAAAATTTGATTTTGTAGTTACTGGGATTTATAGTTAATCTACAATCAAAGAGTATTCTGAACTATATTTGGATTTGAACCAAATATAGCACACAGGACTCCCATGACCAACAGAAAACACTAGAAGGGTTCAGTGGGCCTTGACCTTGAGTTTGGGAGCTGTAGTTCACCTACATCCAGAGAGCACTGTGGAGTCAAACAATGATGGATCTGCACCGAACTTGGCACAAATATTCCAAATGCTCAAATATGAACACAGATGGAGTTTGGGGGAAATAGACCTTGACATTTGGGAGTTTAGTTGCTGGGATTTATAGTTCACCTACAATCAAAGAGCATTCTGAACTCCACCAATGGGATTGAACCAAACGTGGCACACAGGACTCCCATGACCAACAGAAAACACTAGAAGGGTTTGGTGGGCATTGACCTTGAGTTTGGGAGTTGTAGTTCACCTACATCCAGAGAGCACTGTGGACTCAAACAATGATGGATCTGGACCAAACTTGGCATGAATATTCCATATGCCCAAATATGAACACAGATAGAGTTTGGGGGAAATAGACCTTGACATTTGGGAGTTGTAGTTGCTGGGATTTATAGTTCACCTACAATCAAAGAGCATTCTGAACTCCACCAATGATGGAATTGAACCAAATGTGGCACATAGGACTCCCATGACCAACAGAAAATACTGGAAGGGTTTGGTGGGCATTGACCTTGAGTTTGGGAGTTGTAGTTCACCTACATCCAGAGAGCACTGTGGACTCAACCATCATGGATATGGACCAAACTTGGCATGAATATTCCAGCGATCAATCCTCCTCTTTAAGGAGCTCCATTGGCTGCCGTTCATTTTCAGGTCCCAATTCAAGGTGTAGGTTCTTACCTACAAAGCCCTAAACGGTTTGGGACCTGCCTACCTGCGCGACCGCATTTCTGTGTACGAACCCACACAATCTCTTCGATCATCTGGAGAGGCCCTACTCACGCTCCCACCTCCTTCGCAGGCGCGATTGGTGGGGACGAGGGAGAGGGCTTTCTCTGTGGTGGCCTCCCGGCTCTGGAACTCACTTCTCAAGGACATCAGACATGCCCCAATGCTGGCAGTCTTTAGGAGGAGCTTGCCTAGTTTCCAACAGAGCTCAATACCTCTGAGCATGCCTACCATAGATGTGGGTGAAACATCAGGAGAGAATGCTTCTGGAACATAGCCATACAGCCCGGAAAACTCACAGCAACCCACTTAATGCACTTGGGCACCAGTTTGCACTGAACTCAATCAATTGTGAGTTGTATGACCATGTTCTAGAAGCATTCTCTCCTGACGTTTCACCACATCTATGGCAGGCATCCTCAGAGGTTGTGGGGTCTGCTGGAAACTAGGCAAGTGGGGTTTATATATCTGTGGAATGATGTCCAGGGTGGGAGAAAGAACTCTTGTCTGCTGGAGGCAAGTGTGAATGTTGCAAATGGCCACCTTGATTAGAATTGAATGGCCTGCAGTTGCAAGGTGTGGCTTCTTACTGCCTGGGGGAATCCTTTGTTGGGAGGTGATTAGCTGTCCCTGATTGTTTCTTGTCTGGAGTTCCCCTGTGTGGGAGAAAGAACTCTTTGCTGGAGGCAAGTGTGAATGTTCAATTGGCCACCTTGATTAGCATTTAATGGCCTAGCAGTTTCAAGGTGTGGCTTCCTACTGCCTGGTGGAATCCCTTGTTGAGAGGTGATTAGCTGCCCTTACTGTTTGTTGTCTGGAGTTCCCCAGTTTTGAGCTGGATTATATTGCAAGAGTTTTGGGTTCTGAAAGATTCTTCTCAACAGACACGAAAAAGAAAAAATCAGGCATTTAGTTATACCAGCTGGGGTTGCCAGAGAGCAAAGGTCAAGGTTTCCCCTTGACATTAAGTCTAGTTGTGTCTGACTGGGGAGTGGTGCTCATCTCTACTTCTAAGCTGGTGTTGTCCATAGACGCCTCCAAGGTCATGTGGCCAGCATGACTGCATGGCACACCGTTACCTTCCGCTGGAGCAGTACCTATTGATCTACTCACATTTGCATGTTTTCGAACTGCTAGGTTGGCAGAAGCTTCCAGTCAAAGGACATTTAGCATCATGCCAAGCTTTTAAAACTTTTGTGTTTTTAAATGCATTTTTACTGTTCCTTCAACTTGCTTCTGACACGATAAATAAATAAATAGTTTATTAACCAGTAGAAATGTGCTTAAGTGGCTGAAGGGAAAAGGAAAGGGCCTGGGGCTGTTAGGAATTGTGGGAATTGCAGTCCAAAGCACCTGGAGGGCCGAAGCTGGCCTGTGCCTGGTCTAACTGCATTAGTGTAGACTGGACACCCTTGGATGGTGTCCCTACACTGAAGAATTAGCACAGTTTGCTTCCACTTGACGGGCCCTGGCTCAATACTATGGAGCCCTTGGAGTTGTAGTTTGATGAGGGACCAGCCCTCTTTGGCAAGGAAGGCCTTTTCAAAGGACACCTCTCCTGATTCCTCAGCCCTGAGTTAGGGCAGTTTAAAGGGGTATCAATCAAACCCTTCCTTCCTTCTTTCCTTCCTTCCTTGCTTCTTTCCCTTCTTCCTTCCTTCCTTCCCTCCCTCCTCCTGTAACTCCTTTCCTCCTTCCTTCCTTCCCTTCTTCTTTTTTCCTTCCTTTACTCCTTTTCTCCTTCCATCCTTTCTTCCCTTCTTCTTTCTTCTTTCTTTCCTTCCCTTGCTTTCTCTCTTCCCTTCTTCAATTCTTCCCTTCTTCCTTCCTTCCTATCCTTAACTCCTTTCCTACTTCCTTCCGTTCTTCAATTCTTCCATTCTTCTTTCCTTCCCTTCTCCCTCCCTCCCTTTTTCTTCCTTCCCTTCTTCTTTCTTTCCTTCCTCACTTCTTTCTCTCCCTTCTTCAATTTTTCCCTTCTTCCTTCCCTTCTTCCTTCCTTCCTTCTTCTTATTCCTTCCTTCCTTTCCTTCCCTTCTCCCTCCCTCTTCTTCCTCCTTCCCTTCTTCTTTCTTTCCTTCCTTAACTCCTTTCCTTACTTCCTTCCTTCCTTCTTCTTTCTTTCCTTCCTTCCTCTTCTTCCCTTCTTCTTCTTTCCCTTCCCTTCTTTCTCTCCCTTCCCTTCCTCCTCCCTCCCTTTTTTCTTCTTCCCCTTCTTCCTTCCTTTCTTCTTTTTTCCTTCCTCCTTCTTCCTCCCTTCTTCCTTTTCCCTTTCCTTCCTTCCTCTTCTCCTTCCTCTTCCTTTCCTTCTTTCCTTCCTTCCTTCTTCTTTCTTCCCTTCTTCTTCCCTTCCCTTCCTTTTCCTCCCTCTCTTTCCCTCCTCCTTCCCTCTCCTTTCCTACTTCCTTTCCTTCTTCCTTCCGTTCTTCTTTCTTTCCTCCCTTCTTCCTTCTTCTTCATTCTCCCTCCCTCCTCTCTCTTTTTTCTTTCCTTTCCTTCTCTTCTCTCTCTTTCTTTCTCCCTCTTTCACTTGAGCCTTTCCTCCCTTTTCCGCCTCTCGCTGCCCCGCTGGAACCCGATTGGCTCCTTTCCCCGCTTTGAATCCGGATTGCGCACCGAATCCCTCCCTCCCTCCCTGGTCTTTCCTCCCTCCCTCCCTCCCCTTGACGGCCTTTGGGCTCCTCCTCGGACTCTTCCTTCCTTCCTTCTTTTCTTTCGCGCTCCCTCCCTCTCTCTCTCTCTCTTTCCCTCGTGGGACCTCCTCCTCCTCCCTCCCTCCTGTGGCCTCGAAGGGAAGGAAGCGGGGAAAGGAAGCCGAGTGGGCTGTTGGAGAAGGGAAGGGGACGGAGCCCACTCCGGAGCCCACGCCAGAGAGACTTTCCCTCTCTCCCACCCGGGGAGGGAACAGGGGGGCTTCAGGAAGGAACCGCGGGGTCTGGAGACCAGGTTGATCCGCGGAGAATCCGGATCCTCCGGGTGGATTCTTTGCCTTCGTGGCTTTTTCCTGCTGGAAGTTTGGAAAGGAAGCCCTTCTTCTTCTTCTTCGGGATCTCACGGCTTTGCGCGTGGAATCCCTTGGATAAACGACAGCTCAAGTTGTTTGCGTCCTTCCTTCCTTCTCTTTTTCCTTTCTTTCCTTCTTCCTTCCTTCCTTCCTTTCTTTTTTCTTCCTTCCCTCCTTCCTTCCCTTCTTCCTTCCTTTGTGCCTTCCCTTCCTTCTTCCTTCCTTCCTTCCCTCCTTCCCTTTTTCCTTCCTTCCTTCTCTTCTTCCCTTCTTCCTTCCTTCCCTTCTTCCTTTCTTTTTTCTTTTCTTTCTTTTCTTCCTTCCTTCCCTCCTTCCTTTCCTTCTTCCTTTCTTTCTTCCCTTCCTTCTTCCTTCCTTCCCTTCTTTTTTCCTTCTCTTCTTCCCTCCTTCCTTCCCTTGTTCTTTCCTCCTTCCTTCTTTCCCTTCTTCTTTCTTCCCTTCTTCCTTCCCTTTCTTCCTTCCTTCCTTCCCTTCTTCTTTCCTTCCTTGCTCTTTCCCTCCTTCTTCCTTTCCTTCTCTCCCTTTCCCTCTCCCTCCTTCCTTTCTTCTTCTCTCCTTTCTCTCTCCCTTCCTTCCTTCTCCCCCTTTTCCTTCCTTCCTCCCTTTCCTTCCCTTCCTCCTTTTCTCTTCCTTTCCCTCCTTTCCTTCCTTCCATCTTTCCTTTCCTCCTTCCTTCCTTCCTTCCTTTCTCCTTTCCCTTTCTCCTTCCTTCCCTTCTTTCCTCCTTCTTCTTCTTTCCTTCCTTCCTCCTTCCCTCTTCCTTCCTTCTTCCTTCCTTCCTTTGCCCCCTCCCCAGGTTAACTCCTCCAAAGACCCCAGGAAAGGGGGGGGGGAGAAGAAGATGCCCCTCAGGAGGCCGGGTTTACCTGCGGGGAGCGCCAGACCCAAAGAGCTCCAGGTAAGACCCACCTTGAAGCTTGGCTTTTGTTTGGGTCCAGGATTCACCTCCTTCCCTTAAAGGGCATCTTGGCATTGGCCAGATTTCAGGGCCAGTAGTAGTAGTAGTAGTAATACATTTTAGTAAATTTTAGCCTCTTCATTGGTCATTATATAAGTGCAGAGGTTGCACAGTTAATGTAGTTCTGCACCAGGTTGGTTGCCATGGCTCAGTGCCCTGGGACCCAGGGAATTGTAGTTTGGGGAGGCACCAGTTCACTTTGGCCACTTTGCAAACTATAATTTTATTCTACAGCAGGTATGGGCAAACTTGGGCCCTCCAGGTGTTTTGGACTTCAACTCCCACCATTCCTAACAGCCTACCGGCTGTTAGGAATGGTGGGAGTTGAAGTCCAAAACACCTGGAGGGCCCAAGTTTGCCCATACCTGCCCCACTGTGCCTGCTTTTCATGCCAGGAGCATCCTTTTACCTCCCTGACCTTGACCGCATGCAAAACACAGGTAATCCAGAGTCACTCCTGATCATAAACACAGCCATAGGGTCAAAACAAAGTGGGGAGGCATCATCCATACTGGAGACTGAATGCACTCTGACATGGCTCAACCCTATGGCATGATGGCAACTGTAGTTTTGCATGGTCTTCTCTGCCAAACTACAACTCCCAGGACTCCATGGCATTTTACAAGGTTCATGCAGTTTAGCACCACTTGAACTGCCCCGGCTCCAGGTTGCGAGATTCTGGGAGTTGTAGTTTGGTGAGCCTTTGAGCAGAGAACGCTGAAGGCCTTTGAAAACTGCAACTCCCATGGCTCTGTAGCCTGGAGCCATGGCAGTTCAAGTGGTGTCAAAATGCATTCATTCCACAGAGTGTTTTGAAATTATGTGTTTTGGCAATGTTGTAACTCGCTTCGAGCCATGAGGAGAGGCGGGTAATAATAATAATAACAATAATAATAACAACAATTATTATTATTATTATTGGGTTGCTGTTAAGAAATGCTGTTCTAGAATAATAATAATAATAATAACAACAACAACAATAATAATTGTTATAATTACTATTGTTATTATTGAGTTGCTGTTAAGAAATGCTGTTCTAGAATAATAATAATAACAATAATAACAATAATAACAATTATTATTATTGGGTTGCTGTTAAGAAATGCTGTTCTAGAATAATGATGATAATAATAATAATAATAATAATAATAATAATAATAATAATATGTTCTTGTTCTTGTTGTCGTCGTCGTGGAAGGTTTTCATGGCTGAAACCACGGAGTTACTGTGAGTTTTCTGGGCTGCCTGGACATGTTCCAGAAGCACTCTCTCCTGATGTTTCACCCACATCTATGGCAGGCATCCTCACAGGTTGTGAGGTCTGTTGGAAACTAGGAAAATGTGGTTTATTTATATGTGGAATGATATCCAGGGTGGGAGAAGGAACTCTTGTCTGATTGAGGCAGGTGCGGCAGTTGCAATTGGCCACCTTGATTAGCACTGAATGGCCTTGCAGCTTCAAAGCCTGGCTGATTGCTGCCTGGGGGAATTCTTTGTTTGAGGCAAGTCTGAATGTAGCCATTGGCCACCTTGATTAGCACTGAATGCCCTTGCAGTTTCAAAGCCTGGCTGCCTGCTGCCTGGGGGAATCCTTTGTTTAGCCAGGTTTTGAAGCTGCAAGGCCATTAAATGATAATCAAGCTGGCAATGGCAGCTTTCACATTTGCCTCAAGCAAACAAGAGTTCCTTCTCCCACCCTGGATATCATTCCACATATAAATAAGCAACATTTTCCTAGTTTCCAACAGACCTCACAACCTCTGAGGATGCTTGCCATAGATGCGGGCGAAACATCAGGAGAGAATGCTTCTGGAACATGGCCCACCAAACCCAATATTTGTCATCATTTATATTATCATGTTGTATATTTTCTGTACTATTGGGCTTGGCCTCATGTAAGCTGCCCTGAGTCCCCTTGGGGAAAATGGTGGCGGGGTATAAATAAATTATTATTATTATTATTATTATTATTATTATTATTATTATTACTTCTACAACTCCCAAATCTTCCCCCAAACACCTGTATTCAAATTTGGGCATTTTGAGTATTTGTGCCAAATTTGGTCCAGTGAATGTAAATCCATCCTGCAAGTCAGATATTTACATTACGATTTGTAACAGCAGCAAAATGACAGTTATGAAGTCCGAGCAAACTACAACGAAAACAATGTTATGGTTGGGGGTCACCACAACATGAGGAACTAGATTAAGGGGTTGCAGCATTAGGAAGGTTGAGAACCACTGTTTTAGGGCACTGAGACCTTGTGGAATGTTGCTCACCCTTGAAACAGTGTATTATCGAAGGCTTTCATGGCCGGAATAACTGGGTTGTTGTAGGTTTTTCTGGGCTATATGGCCATGTTCTAGGGGCATTCTCTCCTGACGTTTCGCCTGCATCTATGGCAAGCATCCTCAGAGGTAGTGAGGTCTGTTGGAACTAGGAAAATGGGTTTATATATCTGTGGAATGACCAGGGTGGGACAAAGAACTCTTGTCTGCTGGAGCTAGGTGTGAATGTTTCAACTGACCACCTTGATTAGCATTTGATGGCCTGGCAGTGCCTGGGGCAATCTTTTGTTGAGAGGTGATTAGATGTCCCTGATTGTTTCCTCTCTGCTGTTTTGCTGTTGTAATTTTAGAGTTTTTAATACTGGTAGCCAGATTTTGTTCATTTTCATGGTTTCCTCCTTTCTGTTGAAATTGTCCACATGCTTCTTGTGGATTTCAATGGCTTCTCTGTGTAGTCTGACATGGTGGTTGTTGGTGTGGTCCAGCATTTCTGTGTTCTCAAATAATATGCTGTGTCCAGGCTGGTTCATCAGGTGCTCTGCTGTGGCTGACTTCTCTGGTTGAATTAGCCTGCAGTGCCTTTCTTGATTCGTGTTTGGGCAATGTTGCTGCGTTTGGTAGTCCCTATGTAGACTTCTTGTCCACAGCTGCATGGTATAGGGTAGACTCCTGCAGAGGTGAGAGGATCCCTCTTGTCCAGATTATTTGCTTTGGAGTGGGTTAGAGGGTAGTGTAGAAGGGGCCAAAGATCCATGCCCTTTCTTTCCCCCTCTCCATCTGTATGGGAGTGAAACCAGAGTGAAGTCTTGACCTGAATCAGTTCATAAAGGGACTGTTTTTGGGAGAGAAGACCCAGGTGGAAAGCGGGACCGGTGGGGGGGGGGGGGCTTTCTGCCTTGCTGAACAGAGCATTTGTTGGATTTTCTTGGTGGGTCTGTAGATAGTGTGTAGGTAGTGTTTCCTCACAAATGCTGGACCACTCTCACAACCACAATGTCAGGCTACATAGAGAAGCCATTGAAATCCACATGAAGCATGTGGACAATTTCAACAGAAAGGAGGAAACCATGAAAATGAAAAAACCTGGCTATCAGCATTAAAAAAACTCTAAAATTACAACAGCAAAACAACAGAAAGGAAACAATCTGGGACATCTAATCACCTCTCAACAAAAGATTGCCCCAGGCACTGCTAGGCCATCCAATGCTAATCAAGGTGGTCAGTTGAAACATTCACACCTAGCTCCGGCAGACAAGAATTCTTTGCCCCACCCTTGTCGTCATTCCACAGATATATAAACCCAATTTTCCTAGTTCCAACAGACCTCACTACCTCTGAGGATATTTGCCATAGATGCAGGCAAAACGTCAGGAGAGAATGCCTCTAGAACATGGCCATTTCAACCCAGAGGCTTCCAAGTTTGGTTGTTGTTGTTGTCATTTAATTGAGAAACACTGTTGTACAATATAGATAAAACCCGGGGTTGGGTCGAGAGCTTCTTTAGCAAGGCAGTTTTAATTGGGAGACTACCGTTAAAACTTGTGCGCCAGCTGCACCTGCACCTTGGGAAGTCTGACTTGGCCACGGTAGTCCACGCTCTAGTTACATCCCATATAGACTACTGCAACGCTCTCTACGTGGGGTTGCCTTTGAAGACGGTCTGGAAGCTTCAACCAGTCCAACGAACGGCAGCCAGGTTGTTAACAGGAGCGGCGCTCAGGGAGCATACACCCCACTTGTTGCGCCTGCTCCACTGGCTTTGCTACCGGGCCCAATTCAAAGTGCTGGCTTTGGCCTAGAAAGCCCTAAACAGTTCTGGCCCAACTTACCTATCCGAACGTATCTCCCCTTACGAACCACTGAGGACTTTAAGATCATCTGGGGAGGCCCTAGAATCATAGAATCAAAGAGTTGGAAGAGACCTCATGGGCCATCCAGTCCAACCCCCTGCCAAGAAGCAGGAATATTGCATTCAAATCACCCCTGACAGATGGCCATCCAGCCTCTGTTTAAAAGCTTCCAAAGAAGGAGCCTCCACCAAACTCCGGGGCAGAGAGTTCCACTGCTGAACGGCTCTCACAGTCAGGAAGTTCTTCCTCATGTTCAGATGGAATCTCCTCTCTTGTAGTTTGAAGCCATTGTTCCGCTTCCTAGTCTCCAGGGAAGCAGAAAACAAGCTTGCTCCCTCCTCCCTGTGGCTTCCTCTCATATTTATCCATGGCCCTCATCATATCCCCTCTCAGCCTTCTCTTCTTCAGGCTAAACATGCCCAGCTCCTTAAGCCGCTCCTCATAGGGCTTGTTCTCCAGACCCTTGATCATTTTAGTCGCCCTCCTCTGGACACATTCCAGCTTGTCAATATCTCTCTTGAATTGTGGTGCCCAGAATTGGACACAATATTCCAGTTGTGGTCTAACCAAAGCAGAATAGAGGGGTAGCATTACTTCCCTAGATCTAGATACTATGCTCCTATTGATGCAGGCCAAAATCCCTGCTCTCGGTCCCGCCTTTGTCACAAGCACGTTTGGCGGGGACGAGAGACAGGGCCTTCTCAGTGGTGGCCCGTCGGCTATGGAGCACCCTCCCTAGGGAGATCAGATCTGCTCCTTCCCTCTTGACGTTTCGGAGGCAAGTTAAAACATGGCTATGCG